CCACCCCAGCCCCACTTTCTTCCATCTCCCCCTTCCCCTCCTCAAATGCCAGACTGGGCAGGCAGGATGCACAAAGAGGAGCATCTTTGAAAAGGATACAGTTTCCAAACAAGGTGAGCACAATGAAATAGATGGCTGACCACATGCCTGAGCTGACCCCACCCTGGGAGCGGATCCCGTTGTACATCACCTCATTCCAGTCCTCGCCTGTCAGGATCTACGCAAAGCAAACAACAGGCAAGTCAGACACCTGGGCTGGTTGAGAAAATGGGGAAAAGTCTGGGCCTGAGTCTTTTCCACCTACCCCCTTGCTTGGCCATCCTGCCAGGGAGGGGGGAAAATGTCACTCCCATGGATAATCCTAAACTTTCTTCTGTTACGGAAGAGAATTTTAGGCATTTTTGAAAATAGAGAAAGAGCATTAAAAGGGAAGATTCTATTCCTCAAACTACAGAGTCCCTCCCCCTCACACCCACTTTGCCAGGCCCACAGGAATCACTCAGACCAGGCAGTCTGGTCATTCCCCACCTATCACCAGAGCTGCCAAGAGGCAGTTCCTGAGACAGCAGCATTATGGGAAAGAGCTGCCTGGGCACCAGTTCCGGAAACCTGGATTCTGGTTCAGCCTCAGATTCTGGCTAAATAGCGTTTTTCTTAGGTCTAAGACATTACTGATTTTTAATGTCCCCCATTATTCCAAATTTATTTTGGTGGGGGCTAATCATACTTAATTAAATAATCGCATGTGTTAGATGATGTTTCCGGTTTCAGAACACCATAAATGTGATAGCTTTTTTACTGTCTTTGACTCGAGATCTCATATGTAGGGAGGAGACCAGTGAAGCCATCATGAGGGGGCTCTTCTCTTATTGGTAAGAACAGAGTGACCGAAATCCTAGGAATTACTGTGGGGATGATTCCTCAACAAGCAAGGTACCCAGCTGCCTGGGAGGGGCCTGGAGGGGCAGAGTGGGACTCTCCTAACCCTTTTCACCTTGCGGTGTGCGCCCAGGAACCTGCCAGCTGGCCTCATACCTGGAATACAGTCATGATGGCTGCAGGGAAAGTGTCAAAGTTTGCCGAAGGAGTCCCATCATTAAAGTTAAACCTGAGAAGGAAATCCAGAGAGAATGGAATGAAAATTCTTACACATCAAGGTTTCCCTTCCCAAGATTATGCCATTTTCATCACTTCTTTCCCCTTTCTCCATGTCTCCCTCTTTCCTACATTCCCCCCACTCCATGTCCCTAGTAGAGATGGTATTAGAGACTATGGCTGAAGGACTGTGCTCTGTGAAGGGTGTGTCTTTGAAGGGCGTGGGTACTGAGATGGAGTTTGGGCAGATCCCGAGGTTCAGGGCCCTGGGCTGTACATTTCAGAGAGAGCTCCAGAGGAAGGGTCTCTGAAGCAAGAACCCTGTACAATGTGAAAAGGTTACAAGCAGAGACGCCTGTTCCACAACATGTACAGTGGTTGATATGGGCAATGGACAGGAGCAAACAAGATGGGAACACGGTGATTGAATGAGTGACCCCGGAACTCCCAGGCTGAGGTTGTAAGCTCCTTTGGATGGAAAGCTAGTTGGTGCTTACCTGCCTCCAAACAGCTGCATTCCTAGGAGAGCAAAGACAACGATGAAGAGGAAGAGGAGGAAGAGCAAACTGATGATAGACTTCATGGAACTCATCAAGGAAACCACCAAATTCCGTAGGGATGCCCAGTACCTACAAAACGCAGACGACATGACAGCGGTGAGCAGTGAATACCATGTTATTCCCAAGTCCAGCTGGACATCTGCCTGGTGGTCTATGAATGAGCTGCATTTTTAATCCTTGTAGGAAGGAGAGATGGTAGCAACAGTGTGGCTCCCCTGGGGAATGTAGCATGGGACTTGGCATCGTAGATGTTTCTTCTGGTTCGATCTTTGGAGGAGGAGGAGCTGAAGAATGGAGTGGGGGGATGAGATAAGGAAGGGGAACATCTGGTAAGGGGGATGAGGAATGGGAGGACATATAATAAGGCAGAGAGAAGCTTCCACTCTCCAAGGTGGTTGGGAAGGGTCCAGATTCTGATCACTTACTTGGTTATTTTAAATATTCTTAGAAGCCGGAGAGCTCGCAAGACACTGATTCCAAAAGATGTCCCAGGTCTGAAGATGGCCCAGACCACTTCAAAGATACTGCCCACCGTGACCTAAAGAACCAAACCCAGCCACAGTACCAGGAGGAGGAAGAGAGGACAGGAACATTCTGGTAGCCGGCAATCAACAGTACTCATTGGGCTGTGGTGAAATTAAAACTCGCCCCTCCCCACCCCCCTTGCTAACTTTAATCCTGCAGACTGTGGGCTGGTTTACCGACTGCTGTTGTCCTTGGTGAAAACTACAAGTGATCAATTCTGCACAAAATTGACAGCCGTAACTGTCTTACATTGTAACACTTTGAGCAGACAGACAAAAAGAGTCGTCCTCAAAGCAAGGAACAAAACTTGAAGTAATACAGGTTGCATTCCAATATAAAAATCTCAGGGAGGGCCCACATTCTCTCATTGTTCTAAAATTTAGTGCTCACAAGAACGGTTTAGTCATGTGTAGAGTATCTGTCAGGCCCTCAGGCCCCACACAGCCTAATGTGAAGGTGCTACTGGGTGGCAGAGAATCTGACTGCTGTAGGAAGCAGCAATGTCAAATTAAAAACTGAACTTGTTTCTTGTTTTAATTATGCACCTAGTGATTGTCCACTATATAGTCTCTACATTGCATAAGGAGAAATAACCAATAAATTCATCCTCACAGCAATTCTGAATATATGTAGATAAAGAAACTAAGATTATAATGGTCTTTCACTGGCTGGGATGCCTGAAAACTGCCCGTACCCAAAAACATATGTTCCATGTTAAAATGCAGATTGGCAAGTGCTCAAAATCCTTAGCACGTAACTGAAAATTTGGCAGAAAAAAAGTAGGTTTGGCAGAAAGAGAAGTGGATCAGGAACCCAAAGTTTTGGGACCCAGCACCGCTGCTAATGGGCAAACTGGGGACACGTGTCCTCTGGGAATGGGCAGGCTAACTCCTGACACGCAATCTAGTGGACAAGGCTCCTGAAAGCCATGGAGGACCACAGTGTATGTGAAAGCACCTGAATCCTGTTAGAAATGTGCACAGTTATATCTCCATATTATCTAGCAAGTGGACAGTGGACGACATTTCTAACGTGTGTATGTGTGCACGCATCCATGTGCATGTCTGTATGAGGGTATATTTAGATAACTTTCCCAACTGCAACTGAACCCAAATATATAAGCTCATCTTTTTTATTGAACTATCTTCTGGAATCAAATTTTTTTGTCTCCTCTCTCAGGCATTCCCCAGGATACTAAGTGATTTAAAACTCTAGCTTTGTCAAATTCACTGAGCTGTACACTTAAGGGTGCCCTCTATGGTGTGTATTACACTGCCATGAAAACATTAAAAATAAAGCTTAAAACCAATCAACCAACCTAGTGTGGCAAGGATTCACTCACTCCTACCCCCGTTAGCTAACCTTATCTGGTCCCCTGGTATAATTTCTGGTTTCAGTGCTTCATGCTGGGCAAGAGAGGAGCTGCCTATCCCACCCGTGGCTTATCGACAGGAGGGCTCCCGAGCACTTACCCCAAAATCAAAGCAGTTGAAGGAAGAGTGGAAATAAAGGCGAGGCCCCATGCCGTACATCTTCAGGGACATCTCCAAGAGGAAGAGTCCCAGAAACAGAAATTCTGCATAGTCTGAAAGCATCAAAAGCAGGAGCATTTGTTCCCTAGATGGCGGGCTCCCACACCCCCGAACCCCAAAACTACACCTGCAGAGGTGCCCTCCACATGAGCAGGACCCACACATGTAAGGAGGGTCATGACCAGGGCAGGTCAGTACCAGGCAACACCTAATGATGTCAGAATTCGCTCTCACCCAGCAGCAGCCCCAGGTGCTCCCCAGGTTGGCTTTGCTCTCCATCAACAGGTGGGTTTGCCACTGCCCTTTAAATGACAGGCGACTCCCCAGAAAGACGGGGCTTTACCATGGCTTCAATGTGAGAGCCAGAAGGGTCCCCCACACGCCCAGTCGTGGCAGCCTCCTGGAGCCCCACTCACACACAGTGGCAGCCTTACCCAGAGCTGACTAACCCGTACGTCCCCTTTTTGGTGTATTCGAGGTGCCCACTGCCCTAAGAGCTTCCTCCCTACACCACTGATCCTCTTTAAAATACTAAGTGAAGGCCTTACAGAACCCGAATTGCAATGCCATTCGGGTTGACTCCTCAGCAAAGATTTGTTTATCTGATTCAATAACGAATGACAGATTGGAATGGTCCCTTGCAGACAGCCCTGGCCTCCCTCACAACGTGAAGGGGGAGAACTCTGGGCGGACAGAAAGAAGCACTGCCGGGCCCCGCACGATCCTGGCTCTCTGACACCTGCCCCTGGAGAGTCCGCAGTCATGGGTCACTCACAGAGGAAGTGGGTGAGCCACTGGGGCTGGTTGTGATGGACGATGGCCACGCAGGCGGTGTTGAGAGCCACCAGGCTCAGCACAATCCAGTAAAACACCTGGGATTTCACCATGTGGCGGACAGAGATGCGCAGAAGCCTCTCCTTGTGCCGGAAATAGGAGGCCCCGTCCACCTTTGCGCTTTTGATGCTGGCTCGGGCGAGGGGTGTGCCTGAGGGGGAGAAGCAGGGAGGGAGAAGGAGGCTGCAAAAACCATCACCCTCTGTGGGGAGGGGGACAGTGTCGGTCCCCCAGCTGGGTGGCCACCAGGCTGGGGGCCTGGGGACACCTGTGATAAGGAGTCTCCACAGTAGAGATCCCTGCTCTTCCTCTGGGCACGCTCAGTCCTAGAAAGGATTCCCTGGGTCGGAGGACACAAGGCATCTATACCTGGTATCTTAAAGCGAATCAGATCATGTTTATGTTTGGGCTTCTCTCTAGCCTTTCCTTTTCAATATACTTCTGGGGCTGGAATCATTCTGCTGCCTCTGTGATCTTTCTGCCACGGGCAGCCGAACTCAGCAGTGAGCTCTGTACACCTCTTCTGCTTTTAAGAATGAAGACCCCTCCCTTTTTCTTGAGGAACTATCTGCCATCTGCCAGCATTTCTAAGAGAACCTGGGACTGAACACGTCATGCTGTAGGGTTCTCAGTAGGAAATTGTTTAAATATCACATGGACGATGGGACGGCAGGAGGTGGGGGCTGCTGCAGTTAAGCAGGTTCTCAAATGGGGGTTACTCGGAGCAACAGGCCCTCAGCTCCTTTGAACGTATCTGAGTGGGTTTTCATGATCTCGCAGGAGAGACCGGCTGATGGACACATGGGCACACGTGAAGAATCTGGGCTGGATTTTTCTAAGCCCATGTTTCATGTGAACAGGGTCCCTGCGTCCATTTTTTTCTAAGTCATTGTAGATTAGATACCCACACCTTCTCTAATTACAACCCTGGGTTCTGGATTCTTTGGGTCCCCTTCCTCCTCGTGGTGCTTCTCAAAACACAGGCTCTTTATTTTGATGGGAGATTCAGAGAGGGGAATACCTAACTGGTCCCACTCACCCACGGAGGAGATATCCACACAGTGCTCGTCGCTGGAGTCTCGAGTCATGACCTCCGTGCGGCTGCGTTTGATGGTGGCCCTTCGAAGCACTGCGCCAGGACAGGGGAGGCAGGTAAGGACACACACAACCGGGTCATTCTGCTCAAAATTGAGGATTGTGGGCCAGAGGCCTCTGGGACCCAGGCGACTGCCCTTAAACAGCTGAGCCAGGGTCACAGAAGTCGGAAACGTCTAGAGAGACAAGACTCCCGTGCTCAGAGGCACCTATCTGCGCTGGCTCCTCCCCAGCGAGGCACTTCCTGGGAATGAAAGTGGTCCCAAGAGGATCTCCACTGATGTTCAAAGAAGATCCTTTATATGCCATGGATTGCACGATGGGCTTTTTAATTGCACATTATCAACGACACACCCCGGAACCAAAGTAACTCTTGGATTTGGCTTTCATCGCGTTAAAAAGCATTTAAAAATTTGTGACTCAATTCCCTTCCTTTTAAAGCATGAAGGATTTTATGACAGAGAGACTTTGGTTTCAAATCCCAGAGCGCCCTTCTTTTATTTCTCTCTCCTCTTTGGATCAAGAGAGACCACCACGCATAAGAGGGCGCGATGCCAGTGGAGTGAGGAGTTGGTTGGAGCCTTACCTTCCAAGGCTGACGTGCCAGCATTTTTATTTTCTTCAGCAAGCATGACTTCCTCTATATGGAAACAAATGGTTTAGTCAATTATCTGTAAATGGCAAATTATCTTGCAAAATGAAATCCCTTAGGGTGGGCTTGGGCTCCAGGGCAACAGAGAAGGAACAAAGGGTTCACAGTCCGTAGCAGGCATCAGCAAGAGAAAGCTGCCAAGGTCATGGAGAGAGCTCCCCAGACACATCAGAACAGAGGGGCATTCTGGGTGCGCGGGCGCTGGGGAAGATGGTAAAATCCAGCTCTGTGTCTGACACACTCCTTCAGGAGGATGCTCATGAGGGACCTTTTTAACTAAAACTCCCTTAAATTGAGAGGAATGAAAACTACCGTTTCTGGTTTTTCTTCTGCCCAGGTTCTTGTCTTTCCTAACCCCTTAAGCCTTCTCCAGCAATGGGAGCTTCCTTAGTTTCTCTTGTCTGCAACTTCACATCTACCGGCTCATTCAGGAGGCGAGGCCACGCTTTGGGCGTTGGCCTGTCTACTTTGTGAGGAGCAGCACACAGGGAGAGGAGCAGGGCTGGAGGGCCGGCTTCCTCCCACTCCACCACCCACCACTCCATCCTGCCTTCCTTGGGCAGAGCTTGAGCTGACCACGCTTGGGCCCATCATGAACGTGTCCTTGTGATACTGGATTTTATTCATGATCTATTCCTGACACAGAACTCTTAAAGCCCTTGGAATGACTGTCTTCTGTACACTAATGAGATGACTCATTGTGGGGGAGGCCTAGTCACCAGAATGGGGGCTGGTAACTAGAAAAACCAACCCCAGGATTAGAGGGTTATAACTTTCATCCCTATCCCTCTTCCACCTCCTGGGAAGGGAGAGGGGCTAGAGATTATTGAATACCAATGGCTGATGCATTAGTCAGTCATGACAATGGGATGGAACCTTCATAAAATATAAACATCAGGGAGCTCCTGGGCTAGTGGCCGTGCCAAGATCCTGAGAGGATGCCATGTCTGGAGAGAGGACGGCAGCGCTGTGCACCCCAACTTCTGCCCCTCACCTTGGTCTGTATGTTTCTTCATTTTGGCTGTTCCTGAGTTGTATTCTTTATAATAAGCTGGTAGTAATTATCGTTTTTCCTGAGCTCCAGAAGTTGTTCTAGTGAATTATCAAACCTGGACCCCTCTGAATTTGTTGTCAGTGGGGCAGAAATGCAGGTCATTGGGGGCCTCTGCTTGTGGCTGGTCCCTAACCTGTGGGGTGTGCATGAACTCCAGGCAGTACTCAGTGTCCGAATGGAACTGAATTGTTGAGTATCCGACAGGTGTCGAAGAATGGCAGGACTGACTGGTGTTGGAACAACATATTTGGTTGTTGGTGTTTGGAAAAGCACCACACAGTCCCTTGGCTTCCCCAAGGGCAGCCCTGTGCTCCCCAATGGCAAGATCCTATTTTCTATACTTGTTAGAATAAGCCTCACCAGCATCCCTCTGAACTTGCCAACAAAATAGCCCCTGTCTGGTGGAACTCGGAGTCCCCTATTTGGCCCCACCCTCACTTGGCCTATAATAGACCAGTTTGGAGACCTAAGCAATCATTGCCTAGGATTCCGGCTGCTGGGGAAAGCTTGCAGCAGGCCCTATTAAAGGATGGTTTATAATTTAAGCTCCTGTAACAAGTTCAAGGGCAAGCAGAAAAGGGTAAAGTCATTACCACAATTCCACCTGCATATAAAATTGAGAGCGTATAATGAATGTATTTCTCAGGGAGGGGGCATTTTGAAGCTCAGGGGGATGGCCATTCTACCAGGTCCTAATGTTTAGCTTTCTCTTTTGAGTACAGCCTCTGGCGAAATTCTAAGTTAGCATTTTGAGTGTTATTGGTGGAATGCTCCTTGAGGCAGACAAAGAGGGTTTTAAAGTCATTGGACTGTACAGTTTGAGAGCACCCTTTTAAAATAGGTACTTGTTAGCCCTAGCTGGTTTGGCTCAGCTGATAGAGCATCGGCTTGAAGACTGAAGGGTCCCAGGTTTGATTCCGGTCAAGGGCACATGCCTAGATTGCCGGCTCGATCCCCACTGCGGGGCATGCAGGAGGCAGCGCCAGAGGCTTGGCTGTGTACAGTGCCTGGACCGTGGGGTGGGCAGATCTGAGGACCCCCAAACAGAGGGGGGGCTGTGTTGCTGTGGAGCATCTCTGGGAAGCGCTGGAGGGCTCTGGATGTGCTGAAACGCCCCCTCCCCCAATGCCTTTTGCCAAGTTTGCTTTCGAACTTGAGAGTGCCTTTCCAGGGAAATGTAACCCATATGTCTCTGATTCACTGCCGCTCCATGTGCAAAGGGAAGGGCCAGGAAGCACAGGTTGACGTCGCAGTGCGTCTTTTTTCTTAGAAGGAGGAGAGAGCTGGCTGTGCGGTGCCAACTGGAAGAAACTGCAGCCTTGCGATCCTGCATGAATTTGCAAAGCAGAGCCACAGAGAGCAGCACCCCAGGCGTGCACCTGACCCTGAGTGCGGCCAGGGCCAGGGCCGGAAGGTCCTTTCCCAGTTCTGCCGCCCACCCACTCGCGAGGGTGGTCTGTCAGATGGCAACTCCGCCCAGGAAGCCAGTGGCAGTTGGGATTCAAGCTGCCTGACTGGCCTGGTGGCAGATCTGCTCAGTAAGGCCCAGTTACCGTTCTGGGAAGAGGGGAGGGTTATTCATGTTCATGCTCACACAAGGGTCTCCCAGGAGAAAGCAAAAGTGCAGGCCACATGCCTGGGCATGGCTCAGCTTCCAGAGGAGGCAAAGGGATGCAGAGAGTCCCAAAGAGGGTGATTGCTATCTGGCTTTGAAGTAGTAGTCTCAGTCACACTCTCTCTCTCACCCCTGATAGATCATCCAACACTGACTCCGGAGCAGAGAGAGAGCTTTGTGTGCTGGTGGCGGAGTGAGTGTCATGGCGTCATTCCAAAGCTCTCCTAGAAGAATAAGGCTCGGCAACTAAGCAGCAAATCAGATTCCAATTTTTGCCCCGGGAGGCCTCACGGTTGTGCTATGCCTTCTACTGGGAATAGAGGAAAGGTGCTGACTGTCATGTATAATTTTCGATTAAAAAATGTCCTCTTTGCTCGGGAAGAGAATGAAGATAAATCGGACCAATGCAATCCAGCCTGTAAAATAGCAAGGCAAGCACAGCAGCCTTTTTACTGACAGAGACGGGGTGACTGATGTCTCTCCTACGCAGCTGAGCCACAGTCCAACTTGAATCTGGTGGCTCCGTGAGTTAAGGCAACCGTGGTGGGTTTGGGCCTACGCTCAGGGCGAGGTAAGAATCATTCCTGATGAGGAGCCAAGAACTGGTGACAGCTCGGGGAATAGGCAAAACCAGTTCTCACCATCACCTGTCCCCCAGCTGACTGTGATGGCTGCACCATTGCTCTCCCTGCTTCTGGCCTCCTATTATCTGTTCTCGAAGGAGCCACCAAGCGCTCCTTCAACATCTCTAATCAGAGCACGTCCCTCCTCTGTAGCGGCCAGGGCCAGGGCCGGAAGGTCCTTTCCCAGTTCTGCCGCCCACCCACTCGCGAGGGTGGTCTGTCAGATGGCAACTCCGCCCAGGAAGCCAGTGGCAGTTGGGATTCAAGCTGCCTGACTGGCCTGGTGGCAGATCTGCTCAGTAAGGCCCAGTTACCGTTCTGGGAAGAGGGGAGGGGTTATTCAGTTCACGCTCACACAAGGGTCTCCCAGGAGAAAGCAAAAGTGCAGGCCACACGCCTGGGCATGGCTCAGCTTCCAGAGGAGGCAAAGGGATGCAGAGAGTCCCAAAGAGGGTGATTGCTATCTGGCTTTGAAGTAGTAGTTTCAGTCACACTCTCTCACCCCTGATAGATCATCCAACACTGACTCCGGAGCAGAGAGAGAGCTTTGTGTGCTGGTGGCGGAGTGAGTGTCATGGCGTCATTCCAAAGCTCTCCTAGAAGAATAAGGCTCGGCAACTAAGCAGCAAATCAGATTCCAATTTTTGCCCCGGGAGGCCTCACGGTTGTGCTATGCCTTCTACTGGGAATAGAGGAAAGGTGCTGACTGTCATGTATAATTTTCGATTAAAAAATGTCCTCTTTGCTCAGGAAGAGAATGAAGATAAATCGGACCAATGCAATCCAGCCTGTAAAATAGCAAGGCAAGCACAGCAGCCTTTTTACTGACAGAGACGGGGTGACTGATGTCTCTCCTACGCAGCTGAGCCACAGTCCAACTTGAATCTGGTGGCTCCGTGAGTTAAGGCAACCGTGGTGGGTTTGGGCCTACGCTCAGGGCGAGGTAAGAATCATTCCTGATGAGGAGCCAAGAACTGGTGACAGCTCGGGGAATAGGCAAAACCAGTTCTCACCATCACCTGTCCCCCAGCTGACTGTGATGGCTGCACCATTGCTCTCCCTGCTTCTGGCCTCCTATTATCTGTTCTCGAAGGAGCCACCAAGCGCTCCTTCAACATCTCTAATCAGAGCACGTCCCTCCTCTGTTCAAAACCCTCCAGTGGTTCCTGCCTCACTCACCCTGACAATGCCGGTCATGCCCGATCGCTGCCCTCTCCCCCTGTGATTGCCCTCATCCTGTCTCCTGAACCCCTCGCCTTGCTCACCCCGCTCCTGGCTGCTCCCACTTTACAGTCTTGGCATCAGAATATTCCTCCCTCAGATCGTCCTGTGGCTCGCCCCCTCATCTCCTTCAAATGTCCCCCAAACAGATTTACCCTGACACCTCTATTTAAAGCTGTGACTTCCCCTACGCCCCATGGCCCTACCTGAATTTGTTGTCAGGGGGGCAGACATGCAGGTCATTGGGTCTTATCACCTTCTGACAAGTTACTTATGTATAATTTTGTTCACTGTGGCCTTCCCCGACTAGAGGGTAGTGAGCTCCAGGAGAGGACAGTGCTGGCTCACTGCTGTACCAGGAGTCTGGAACAGGACCTGGCACCAAGGAAGCAACACTACCCATCCATGGAATGGATGATTATTGTTAGTAGTAGCAGCAGCAGTACAAAACGTTACCGACCCAAACTCAGCCACAGGACTGGGTTATGTTACCATTTCCTCAGTGCGCCTTGCTACCATGCCCGTCTCATGAAGGTGTTTAATAGAAGAACAGGGATTGTCAGACGCCAGATAAAGGAAAGTGGGACCTGCAGGGAACCTCAAAGCAAATGAGGCATCTAGAGCCTCTCTCTGCTCCGATCCAGGCTGCCCCTGGGCAGGGAGGTACTGGGTGGGAGGTCCCCGCTGACCATGCAGCCCGCCACCGGCCGTCCTGTCCCGCCTGCCAGCCTTACCCGCTTTGTCGATCCAGGCGCGGTACCCGTTCAGCTCCCGCTCAATCTGCTGCTGGCGCCGCAGCTTCATGAAAGCCCTCCGGTTCTCCACTCTCTCTCTCTCTTTGGCAAATTCCCTGTGGACAAGGAGGATGAGATGCACGAAGTTCGGGCAGTGGCACGACTAAGAGAAAGGGTGATGTGAGGAGGAGAGAGAGTTTGAGCAGGTGCCTCTGGGCACCCCCTTTCCCCTTCCCTTGGTCCCAGCTGCATCCATGACATCCTTAAAAAGTTGTTCAGAAACTCACCTCATTCAGCCCCATGCAGGAGCCTTCCCAGATCCGGTTTATACCCATCAGCACTAACACCCTCTGCTTGCTTGCTCAGAAAGGTGTTTTCTTAGCCACGTGACGAACCAGGCCTCAAAATGCTATATATGTGCCGCATCCCCAGCTACAACAGAGGCCCTTAACCCTGCAAGGGGCATGGCTACTCTTTATGCTTTTAAGTACAATAATGATTAATGTATATTGACCACTTATTAGGCCAGCTCTGTATGAAACTTTTCATACCCATTAACTCCTTTAGTCCTCATAACCACCCTATGAGATAAACACTATTAAAATTCTTGTCTAACAAAGAAAGAAACAAGACTTAGAGAAGAAAGTAACTTGCTGGGATCTGAACTCTAACCAGCGTGCTGTGCCTCCTCTGGGGTCCTGTATCCTGAGGCGCTCGATAATGGCTGTCCCTGAAGACCACTGACACCGATGCCCTGAAGGGCTGCCATGCTGTTTGAAGATGGCTGGCAGCGGTAAGTGAGAAAAGGAACATGAGAAGGGCACCTGGACTCTAGGAGGAAGACAGGAGGGAGGTGGGGTGGAGCCGAGGGGAGATGATGGGACAGAGGGAAAGCCAAGGTGAGAAGACACAGCCCACTGCCAGGGGCCCACAGCCACTCTGTGGCACAAGACAACGAAGACTAAAGCCCCACGGGCAATGGAGAAAGAAGAGGAATGAGTGCTGCCTGGCAGACAGGGAGATGGTTTAATTCAATGGGAGCAAATAGGGATCAAGAAAAATTCATGAGCTAGTGGGCCCCTCCAGAAACCACCTCCACCGTCCTCCACATCACCAAACCCCTTCCAGGCAAGAATGCCCCTCGCTAGAACAGTACCTCCCAGTCACCGCTCTGGCACTCCCCACTGCCCTGGACGCTGTCAAGGGCTCCCCATCAACTAAGAGGTGCCCCTTGAAGATGAAGAGGTCCAGCACCCATCATGGGTCCTGCCAGCTTCTCCCTCCTGTCCAGGTACTAAAACATGAGCCAGGGGCTGAGGGTCCTGCTCCTGGCCCTGTGCAGGGGAGTGGAAGGAGCCTCATCTGGTCCCTCCTATAAAGATAGAGATGGATTCCTTGGCACCGACACCTTATAATGATCACAGTGAGGCTGAGGGCATGGGCATGTGGCACATATCCAGGGGAGGAGATATTCTCCTGGGCTTGGCTGCGGGTCCAGTGGGTTCTACCAAGGGTGTTGTGGGGAACGGAAAGGGAGGGGGTCAAAATGAAGAGTGCCAGGGCCAGTGAGTGACAAGGTAACAATTCAGGCCCTGGGGCACCCCCTTTCCCCACCTTCATTCATGGGTTTCAGCATGGGGCTGGCGTCGCCACCAATCAAAGTTCTTACCTTCGGCTCTTTTCCTTCTTTGTATCCCTCCTTCCCAATTAATGCCGACTTCCAGTTGATTCTGTCTTCAGAAGGACACCAGATCCACCTCCCTCTTCATCCTCACCGCCTTGGTCCAGGACCCCATCCTCTCCTGCCTGGGCCATTACAGTAGCACCTACCTGGTCTCTCCACCACCTGCCTCTCTCCCCTTCATCTCCTCCATCTCACAGCTATCGGTTATCTTTCTACAACATGATCACCTCCAAACCTAAAACAATAACTATAGGGAGCAATATGTGTGGAACACTTTCTAATTTTCAAGCATCTCTGTATATTTTCCTCATTGAATCTTAACAACCCAACTGAGAAGAAGGCAGAACATGTATTTTCATCCTCCAGGGAAAAGCTAAACCGCTTGTTCACATTTAAGCAACAAAGCCAGGACTAGAGCCCAGAGCTGTCTGCTCTATGAGCCGGGGCTCCTCACGCCCCGCCTATCTGCCCGATGGCGTATCTGTATGTCCCCTCTTTATCTTTCATATGGATGTGTCCTAATTTTTCAACTATGCTCTGGGAGAATTCAGGGAGGTTTCAAGCAAGACCTTGAAAGGGGGGACTTGAAGCAGGCTGTGACCAGAGGGACACAGCAATCCTTGAGCATCTGGGGTGAGATCACCAATAGCTCCATGTTCCAGCCCAGAAACGGAATCTAAGGAGGAGTTAAGTGGCCTTTTGAGGGGGCAAGTGTCCAAGGAACCATGACCCTCAGATCTTCTAAATTCCATCTTCTCTCTGTTCTAATCCCTTCCCCTCCACACCTCCTCCTCCTGCTGCTAAATGAGGTACACACAGCTAACATGGCCTTCAGTCTTTCACAGTCTCATCTGGACCTTTCTTTCCAAGCCTCAGCTTCCATCATTCCTCTCTACCCCATGCACTCCGGCTGTCCCCCTCAGTCATGCTCCCACTGCAGCAACTTCTCTCTACTCCTGAAAAGGCAGTGCAGGCTTGTAAGGCTTGGTTCCCACTGCTTCTCTGCCTGGAACCCCTTCTTTTCTGCACCTGAGTCTGTTAAAATCCTTCCTCAAGGCCAGGCTGAAATGTCACCTCTTCTGTTTAGTGTTCTTCTCCCCTAACCTCTCCTTAGTCTTCCGGCCTCCCCTCCCTTCTACCTTTCTTCTATGTCTTTACAGCCCATCATACAGCCGGAGCTTTACTGTGCTGGGCTGTGCAGGAGGCTCTCTACTTTACTAATATGTGAGTTTTTTGTGAAAATGTTATGTCTTTCTTAACTTTGTGGTGTCCTCTGGACTAGGCTGGACCTGGCACATAGCATATGTTCAATATATATGTATATATATTTTTTAAATTAAAAATATCCAGACAGACTTGGTGAGCATACTGATCACTCGTCCCTGGGTCCCAAAGGCCTAAACCAGCGGTTCTCAACCTGTAGGTCGCGACCCCTTTGGTGTTCGAACGACCCTTTCACAGGGGTTGCCTAAGACCATCCTGCATATCAGATATTTACATTATGATTCATAACAGTAGCAACATTACAGTTATGAAGTAGCAACGAAAATAATTTTATGGTTGGGTCACAACATGAGGAACTGTATTTAAAGGGCCAGAAGGTTGAGAACCACTGGCCTAAACGAAGGCACACTCCCTCTCTGCACTGACCCAAAGCGAGCAGGTGAATCTGTGGGAACTCCCGGACACTGCCACTAAAATCTGTTTCCCTTTGGCTCCACTAAAATCTGTGGCATCAGTCCATCAACTATGCGGTGTGTCACCTCTCGCTGGCCCCTGGAGTGGCCCTGCAGCTTGATTTCCGGTGGGCTAGGCCAACAAACCCAGGCTAAGCTCCCCGTGTACTTGGAAGTTTCCTGGCTCCGGGCCTCACCAGCTGGCTTCCCTGCTCTCCTCTGTCATCTTGTCATCGCAGGCCCCCGTTTCCTCCCACCCTCCCACCTGGCATCTTCGCTGGGCTCACAGGCTGGAGCCCAACAAATCTGGCCTGGGCTTTTTAAGAATCCTCTTGCCTGAAGGCAGGAAACAAAGAATGTGCACCAGTGGGGACAGTTCCTCGCAGCTAGTGCACCTCCGAGGAAGAAGGACCGTGCTGGAGGGAGGGGTGTGTGCGTACTCTATATTGTTTATGGAGTGGCCCTCTTCCGTTTTTCCAATGGGATCCTGGGAGAGAAGTCTGGCACCAGTGTCTTTCGTGACATCTCTCCCTCCCTCGCTTGCTGTCATCACTGTTTGTGCCCATGGCTCATCGCCCGACTGGTCTGCGGGCTCCATGAGACCATGCAGAGCCTATATGGCATCACATTGCAACAAAGACCTATGAAGATGAATCCAAGGTCTACTATTATAGCAGACTCGGTAGGTTATGGAAGTAACATGTTAAGAACCGCTAATATCCATAGGACACATTTGTGAGTTTTTAAATTTACAAATCACTTTCATGTAAATTAGTGCACTTTTGTTTACAAAAACCTTGGGAGATTCAAAAGGTTCTTGTCCAAGATCAACCAATTAGCCAGAATTCAATCTAACATGGACCAACCCATTTCAGGTTCAGTGCTGTTTTCACAAGGCCTCAGCTGTCTTCTATGCTATCTAGACATCAACCTTTAAAATCCACAAAAGGGATGTAGTTTCAGCCCAAGGTTGTGGAAAATAAGGATATAAAATCTAGAGTGTTTGTTTTTCTAAAAGACTGATTTTTTTAATAGAGAAGCAGCATGAGAATCCATTGCTCTGTGTTGGATTAATAAAGACCTAGTGTAAAAGTCATAGCTTTGGTCAAGCTAGTGATGTACTGCTTGGTTTTTGTATCCTTACCTCAGTCACCATTTATTTATACACATACTGCATTCTAGGGAGAACAGGGACAAGCAGGATTCAGTGCCATTACCTGCCAAAATAACTGACCATTCGCCCTAAGCGGTTTGGCTCAGTGGCTAGAGCGTCGGCCTGTGGACTGAAGGGTCCCAGGTTTGATTCTGGTCAAGGGCATGTACCTTGGTTGTGGGCACATCTCCAGTAGTGGGTGTGCAGGAGGCAGCTGATCGATGTTTCTCTCTCATCGATGTTTCTAACTCTCTATCCCTCTCCCTTCCTCTCTGTAAAAAATTTATAAAATGTATTTAAAGAAACACAACTGACCATTCTAACCAAGAGTCAACATATCCACCACTCTCATGAGTAGATACACGGCCTGACCCAAGAAAGGGAAGCATATTCCCCCCACTGTTCCCTCTTCTCCCTCTTCCCAGAGGATCCTGCGGGTTATTCAGATGATAATGGTTTTGCAAAGATAAAGCATATGACCATTACTGTACTTAGTCATCCAGATGACCACTGCCCAACTTTCTACTGAAATGTACCTTGAAGAGAGGCCCTGCACACATCTCAGTTTATCCAGCTCCCTTGGGCCTAGCAACAGGAAATTTA